TGGGAAGGCTCTCCAGCTGTTTAATCAACATGGCAATGATAATAATCGCAGGTGTCGGTAGACATGTCAGCACTACAACAATGCTGCCCAGCTGTGTACACCAGCTGTTCCGACGTCCAACGCACTGTCGAACTCCTTGATCAAGTTTCTCGTATCGTTTAGAGCTGCACAGTATCTGAACACCCTTCCTCGGGAAGCCGCCACTCCGTCACAGCCCGATGTACCCTGGAGCGGATTTCAGGACGGTTGAACCATTGTTGCAACCAAGGCTTGAGACATTCCTTCGGAAGCCTGATTCCAAGAACCTGGCCAGGGCAAGTTTGGGCGTGAGGCAGAGATCCTTGCCCTCCGATTAAACCACAGTCGAAAGAGCCCTCCGAAACTGAACCATCGCACCCAGAACGTCCCGTGGACCTCCTGGCCGTAGTTTCCCTACAGCAAGAGCCCCCGTTCTCTGCAGCCTGAACGTCACAGCGTCTTGGCGCGAGGCCCTGGCAAACCGAGAAACTTTGCCATACAGTTTCCGATGTTTGACCACACGCTTAAGCATGGTCGTCCGAACCATCCTCCTTCCTCCACCTTGATTGTTGTCAAGGTAGACCGCCTGATGCTGAGCTTTGTCTACCATTCCTCTCAACCGCAGCCTCCTAACCACCTCCTTGGTGCCTTGTGGGAAAGATGCCACACCTGACTTCAGCGACACATCTAGTTTCCACCTCGCTGGTCCATCAAACGTGTTTCGCAGGCATGACTACATACTCTCGACGATGGCTTTCTAGAGCCTGTGATGCGCTGCGACAAGTCGTCGACCCAGATTCGGTGCCCCAACAGCGGGTGAACCCGAGAAATTTTGGCCATCACATAATGCGTCATACATTTCGCGATTTCAGTTCCAGACCGTGATCTTTGGATGCTACTGTGATGCACCAAAAACGGAGGACACACCGAACCGAATAGTTCGAGCGTGCGTGCTGCAATACAATGCACTAGTTTCATGTACAATACCACTGGAGGGAACCCGAGACGCAACGCTGCGCATATTCATACATCCCATTAACAGCAGTCGTACAGTTCTTTGATATACAACATGCTGTGACTTGTGGGCAGCCTGAGCCAGCCCGCAGTGCCGTCCTGCAGCGTGCAATGGAAAGCTTCACCAATGAGCTGTAACCCTCGGTAGCCACATCCCACTCCGTCTCCACCAAGGTGCACTAGTCGTGTACATGCCGTTCCCGAACACTTGACCATAGCCAGCCCAACGCTGGTATCAAGCCGATGATCCTGTCGCCCTCGACCCTCTTGGGCAAGAGTTTGCCTATCGTCAGCTACGTCTGATATGGCCACGTGAGCGCGGCCTCGAACACATTCATCATAGCTGCTGCTTCGGTGGTCCCACTCTCAGGACGCCTCTCGTACCAGGTGGCGTCGGTCGATCAGCTCCCAAACCTGTCTTGCCGCGCATGCCGTGGGCCGCCCTCCGCACATCCTTGACTGCGATGGGATCTAGGGGTTCGTCGCGCGCCGCCTCCCTGGCCTCTCCGAAGGCTTCGGCAGGCTTCCTGCTGCGACCGACCCCCGCAGCGCATCCGACATAACAGCCTGGGGGAGCTCGCTGAGCACTCCGCGGTGCGCTCTTGGCCCTTGTAGCCGGCACTGGCCGAGCCGAACAGTGAACTCGCGGAGCTCGAGGGACCTTCCGAGGTTCGATCTTGACCATTCGACCCGACGCGAACCGAATCGAGCAGCGAACGCTCGGAGCTCGAGCAGCACGCCGAGGTTCCGTCCTGACCATCGCGTCCCACAGGAGGTCCAGAGCTGCTTCCAGAGCTGCCCTTTGCGAGCCAAAATGTCCTTTGGTGGATGACCGCAAGCCACAGAGCCATCCCATAACTCTTGTGCAGGAAGGGCTTCTTCTCTCATAGACCGATGCAGCGTGCCAACCGCCCCCTGCCGAGTAACCCAACCGCGAAATTCTGTCAATGATTCTCTTACCGACCTCCGCTGAGCACGTAACAGTAATTCCCTACCTAGGCTCTGCCTAGAAGGGTTCTTACTCTGTTTGCTTAAGAGGGCCGGCCAGTGGGGCACGCCCCGGGCGGTTCCTCCAGCATCCGCCCCGCGGTTCCCCCAGTGACGTTCCCTTAGCTTCGCGTTGCTTATCTCATCTTAGCTCAGCTTATTTCATCTTACCTTAGCTTAGTTTCATCTTACCTCAGTTTTATCTTATCTTAGCTTACCTTCATCTTAGCTTCGCTGAGCTTTAGCATAGCAGAGCACAGCATAGCATAGCATAGTGTAGCGTAGCATAGCGCAGCATCGCATATCATAGCATAGCCCAACATAGCATAGCATAGCGCTGCATTAACATAGCATAGCATACCATAACCAAGCAAATCATAGCATATCATAGCATAACATAGCGCAGCACAGCATAGCATAGCATAGCACAGCACAGCATAGCATAGCATAGCATAGCGCAGCTTAGCATAGCATCGCATAGCATACCATAGCTTAGCATAGCACAGCGCAGCGTGACATATCATAGCTTAGCACAACATAGCGTAGCATAACATAGCATAGCATAGCGCAGCATATCATAGCATAGCATAGCACAGCGCAGCATAGCATGGCATAGCATAGCATACCATAGCGCAGCATAGCATTGCATAGCATAACATAGCACAGCATAGCAACTAATGCTGCTTTCCTAGGGGCTCCAACTTCTAGGTAGGGTCGCACTGGGGTAATTTGTGAGCCTGGTCCTGAAAGTTGTGAACAACCATTCCCCGCGCCGCCTTCATATTCAGCAGCAAATTGATGCACGCCTCGATACCAGCATCTCTACCAGAATTGAGCAAGTTGTCAAACCTCTCCTGCTTGTCGTTAACAACCTGTTTCACCGCAACAAGGAGCTGATCCAGTTGGCGTTGCCCACCGTCTCGACCGTTCTGCTTCGCGAACTGTGCCAAGATATACGCAACTCTCTTCCACCAGCATGCTACCCGATCACGCAGCGGCGCTGCCCTCGATCGAGACTTGATGACGAGCATTTATAATGTCTTCCACGGTGCTGAGTCACTGGAAATACCAGGAGCTCACCGAGTGGACGTGGCAAGAATTGAGCGAAAAAGGATACGGAGGAACGGAAGTGAGAGGGAGGGGCAGGGGCTTGAGGGTGCTGGTGGCCAGCTCGATGCTTCCACCACCACTCTCCTGGAATAAGTGTGCTAGGCTCGACCTGACCTGTAGGCGCTGCCGAGGGACAAGGCTCAACCTGGCTCGACCCACTGCGTGTGTCTGGGGCGGGACGGGCTCTCAGCATTGACGGAATTTGACGCTGAAGCAAAACGATTTTTGATGCTCTGGGCACATGCGACCTGACCACGACCACGTTCTACCATGAGGCCGGTCTAGCCCTGGGGCGAGCGTCCCAGGCGTTTTGGATCCTTAATAAAGGATAGTCTCTGGGCCTTTTTTTGAGCCGTCGTAGGTGGACGAACCTGGCCCCAAGGGAGCGTTTCTTCTTCTTCTTCTTCTCCCTGTCCCCTCCTTTCCCCCCCCACGACCACTGAAGCGAACGAGCAAGCATGACCACCCTCCTGACCACGACTACGCTCAGACGACGGGCCAGGCGATCTTGCACCAGCGAGCCCGACGCCGCCCGCCGCTGCTCCGCCTCCTCCTCTGCCGCGAACCTGGCCGCGGCAAGCCCGGCTGCCTCCGCCTTGACCGACCTCTCCTCCTCCTCCTCCTCCTCCTCCTCCTCCTCCTCTTCCTCCCCCTCCCTCCTCCCTCCTCCCTCCTCCTCCCTGCCGATGCCGAAGCCGCCGATGCCGCTGTCTCGGGCGCTACGCCCTTCTTGGTGCCAGCGCCGTGACCTGCATCGCCCTCAGCTGCTGCGTCTGCACCGCCCTCCTCGCCGGCGCGCCTCCTCCCGGCGGCGAGACGCGAGGCGCTGTCCTGCCTGAAGCACTGCCTCGTCCATCCAAGACCTGCCCTCCGCGTTCGCCCACTGGAGCGAGTCCCTGATCTTGTGCAGGTCCGAGTGGATCTGACGGAGCTCCTTCCTCGCCGCGTCCTCGCACTCCGAGCTGTCGATGCCGTCGAGCATGCTGGAGCCCCGCGTGGCCGAGAGCGCTTCGTCCGAGGAGGGCGCAGCACCCGGACCACTGGCTCTCGCACCGGTGCCCTTCCGCCCTGGCGAGCGCGCCTCCGCGGCCCTCGTCTTGGCGATGGGCGGCCGACGCGAGGGGCTCCGTCGCCGTCGTCTCCCTGGCCTTGGCCGTGTCCAGAGCCGGCTGGAGCCTGCGCACGGTGACGCTGGCCACGGCCTGGTCGTGCTTGTGATTGCAGTCCCTCCAGGGGCTGTCGGCTTTCTGACAGTGAGCCGCCGCACTGGGCGTTCCCTCGCTCGACCTGGGCTGATTCCGGAGGAGGTCAATCCTTGCCTTGAGCAGCTTCCTGAGCTCGGGATCTGAAGTACCCTTCATGGCCTCGATGAGGTGGTCAGCCACTAACGTTGGAGCAGACCAGGGTGCATTTGCCGCGGCAGCAGCCGCACCTGCTCCACGCCGAGGAACTCCATCGTCGTGAGAAACTTCCCAAACCTCAGGCTCTTCAGAGAACGAGACACGATGGGGGGAGATGGGTCTCGAAGACGACCGTTTAGGGCTGAAGGGCTTCACCTTACGCTGCCACTTCCCACTTCGGAAACCATTCTTCTTGAGCTGATCGTTCCACTCGCACCTCCCACACTGACAGCGACTCCACAGACGAGCACTCCTCTCGAAGAGACCAGACATTGTGTGCGATGACGCTCTTGCTTTGGTCACAGGTGACAGGCTCCCACAAGGAAGGTGAGGGAGCCTTGCTCCGTGTGTCTCAAGCGCCCCGAGCAGGCACACGAGCCGGCCCCTGCAGAGTGCTCGGGCCCGAGTGGCTTGAGCGATGGAGGAGGAGGTGGAGGACGAGGGGAGGTCGACGGCCGGACCCGTGGTCGC